TTTTCAGGCACACTACCTAACATATTCCCTAGATCAAACCACAATCGACTTGCGTCTCTGACTTGTCCTTGAGCACTGATTTAAAACTTACTAAGTAGTCTAGAAAAGGGACCCAGTGGCTCAGTGGCTAAGGCACTGAGCTTGTCGATCAGAAAGGTCAGCAGTTCAAATCCCTAGCGCTGCATAATGGAGTGAGCTCCCGTTTCTTGTTCCAGCTTCTGCCAACCTAGCAGTTCGAAAGCATGTAAAAATGCAAGTAGAAAAATAGGAACCACCGTTGGTGTGAAGGTAGCAGTGTTCCATGTGCCTTTGGCATTTAGTCATGCTGGCCACGTGACAATGGAGACGTCTTGGACAGTGCTTGGCTCTTCAGCTTTGAAATGGAGATGAGCATTGCCCCCTAGTGCTGGGAACGACTAGCACATATGTGTAAGGGAACCTTTACCTTTACCTTAAGTAGCCTACATATGGATCACTGAGCATCCATTATCAACTAAAATACCCAGAGAAACTCAAAACTCAAGCAGGAACAAGAATTCTGAAGAGATAAACATATTGGTATACTTTCTTACAGTTGCAAAGTTTGTTTTGTAATATTTTAAAGGCAAACCACAAATCCACTACAATTAAAAAAACTGCACACCGGCATTTATCAGTATAAATATATACAAAACATGATATTGGGAAATAGCAAATAGGGTTATTTTAAAGACAGGAAAATCAGGAAGTAGAGATGGTGACAATGATTTAAGCATTGCTGAAAGCAAAACCATGCAATTTCCGTTTGGGTTCAGAAGGTTGGAAGACAGCTAATGTAAAATCAATTGTGAAAAGAACCAAGAAAGATTGGGGATGGGCTGGTCAGCTTAAAGTGAGGCCCAGGTAAATTCATTGAAGCAGCAATCAAAGACCAAAAAATAATAATAATAAAGTACATAGAGACAAATTATGCAAATCAATGCATTTCACATCATGGCAGTAGATCATTCGCACAAGGACCTAAGTACTACCAATCTTTATTATTTTTTCCTCCCAAAGCTACATTCCTTTTATATTACCTTCTACAAACTTGGTTAGTTTGAATGAATTTTTTTTAGGGGCAGAACAATGAAGGACTCCATTTATTGTTGCAATCTGGATGTGAGGGAATTTGCTTTGAGCAAAAGCGGATCTCTAATGGATTTAGGAACTCTCCATTACTCCTTGGTCATACATTGATGGATGTTAATTTGATCCTGATTACAATTATACATTTCAGAATATTCATGAACTGGAATAGGGCATAGCAACAGGTCATCCATTGTGGACTGGCTGGAATAGGACATGGTAACAAGGTCAGCCAATGTATAGGCATGACAACTGGATCAGCCAATGGGAACTATTTAGTGACTGAGAGCCATGCCAGATGGTTTGGAGCCTGGGCGTGGCTTACCTATGTAGCTCTGAGTCTGTGCAAGAGAACTAATCTAGTCTGCTCTCTGAATTGAAACTGGAAGCCAATCTCTCCTCTGCCTGTGCTTTGCCTGTAACTACTACCACGTTGGAAGAATCTGCTGTTGGTATTGTACATTTACTCATGTGTTATTATGTATATAAAGAAGTTAATGAATCCTGCTGAATCAGTTACCTGTGTGTGCTTTCTGGATGTGATTTTTGCAACAAACTCTGACATATGGTCCCTATTGGATTATTTTTATTCTAGAAAGGGCAGGTGCTTCCTGAATGGGGGTTAATATTATTAAGGAAAAATAGAATATTATTTTAATATTAACCATATTTTAATATTTATTAATACATATTTAATATTTCTTAAAATATTTCTTAAATATGAAAGAAATGTTTTCATATGTTTCTCTCCCATTAAATACATATTTTAATATATTCATTTAATATTAGTTTGAGTCATCCAATGTTCAGCATTGCTTTCGCTTGATCCCCCTGCTAGAACAAAGTCAAGAAACACAGAGCACTCATTGTATCAGGGTTTGAAAAACGCCGCCAGGCAATCGCCGAAGAGGAGAAGTTGCTTTTGAAGCATCTTCAGGAGGAAGAGCTGGGAACCCTGAAGAAGCTGGATAGGAATTCAGACTTCCTTCTTGAGCAATGTGCTGGACTGCAAAACCTCATCACAGAGATGGAACATCAATGCCAAAAACCTGCAGCCGCTTTGCTCAAGGTGAGGTCCTTTAGGGTAAGCCAGCTGAAAGGAGCAAGAGAAAGCAATGGCTACATGAAGCACACTTGCCATAGCCTTTTGCTACAGAGGGCAGCGTGAGGGCTCATTGGTTCAGAGGCTGGGCTTGTCATCCGGAAAGCCGACAGCCCAGGTTCGAGAACCAAGCATTGTGCAATGAGGTGAGTGCTTGTCTTCACGTAGCTCAAGGGTGCCAAATTCAAGGCCCACAGGCTGGATTAGGCCCATGGGATGCTTAGATTTGGCCCACAGGGCCACCCTGGAAACAGCAAAGGACTTGCCCAGGAAACAGAGCTATGTTTTCACTGGCGGAGGGTTGCAGGAAGACGTCACACCTGAAAACGGAGCTCGGAAGCCCGTTTTCACTGGCAGAGTGCTCAGGCCACCACAGGCGCCCCCAACATGAGTGATGTCGAGCTGGCCATACCCATCCCACCCCCCTGAATCAAACCCACCCTGATGTGGACCTCAATGAAACCAGGTTTGACACCTCTGGCCGAGCGCCTGCCCACCTAGCAGTTTGAAAGCATGTAAATGTGAATTAATGTCTGTAAATGTGAGTAGATAAATAGGCACCACTTCGTTGGCTAGTAAACAGCACTACAGTAAACGGCACCATAGGAAAATCGGCAGGGACTCCTTGCTAAAGAGCTCAATAATTTCTCGCAACTCTCTTTTCATGTTGCTTTGCTATGTTTCTTGTATAATTAATCATGAAATTGTTCCAGAACTAGTGCTGGAACAAAAGGATAAAGTGTAGAATGAACAGAAGGCAACATTGGTTCATTGTAATTTCTAGAATTTTACAGTTCCAAAGTTAGAAGCTTGCATTATTACATTTGTAATGGGACTAGATTCTGGGAGCTTTTTCAATTTTGTGGTTGCTATCGCATTCTATGTTTTTTCTGAGCAATGCAACTTTGGAAGTTGAGGTAGCATACAAAGTGATTGATAAGCTATGAATTGCATATATCCTAGAATATCCAAGCCCTGTGCTAAAACTCTATGCTATTGAGGGATAACATTTGATGTTGTATTTTAAGAAAATGGCAAAGCTGCTGAAAGCATCATTCCCTACCCCCCAACATTTTAACTGGGCTTTGTTCCTCAGAACCTTGAGGACTAGAAACAAAAAGTCTACCCACCCACCCCCCAAAATAACAACAGATCATATAACAGGGGTGTCAAACTCAAGGCACGGTGACCAGATCTGGCTCACGGGGTGCTTAGATCTGGCCCACGGGGTGCTTAGATCTGGCCCACGGGGCTGCCCTGGAAAAAGCAAAGGACTGGCCTGTGGTGCCTCTGCCAGCAACAACGAAGCTCAGGAGGGCCACAACTAACTCTCTTTAACTCCATTTTCACTGGCAGAGGGTTGCAGGAAGCCGTCGCAGCTGAAAATGGAGCTCAGGAGCCTGTTTTTGCTGGCAGAGCGCTCGGGCCACCACAGGTGCCCCTGACATGAGTGATGTTGAGCTGGCCACACCCCCTGGCCACTCCCACCCTGGCCATGCCCACTCTGGCTCCCCGAGCTCAAACACAACCCTGATGTGCCCTCAATGAAATCAAGTTTGACACCCCTGTCATATAATGTTTGATAGAGCAGCATTAACAACAGGATTCTTTATAAGTTGTTTGAGCAACATTTAAAAAAAATACTAAAGTACTTATATTTTTTCTTCTTCTAGGATGTGAAAAGGACCTTGAACAGGTCAGTACACTAAATTTAGACAACTATTTGCAGGTTTATTTTTGTAATAAATCCCGATTGAAGTTTGCTTCCAGATAAAGCCTGGTGTTTATACGTAGTCTTTAACCTCGGATTACAATTGACCCAAAATTTCTGTTGCTAAGCAAGGCAATTTTTTAAGTGAGTTGTGACCAATTTTACAATCCTTTTTGTGACAATGAAATGAATCACTGCCATCGTTAAGTGAATCATGAGGTCGTTAAATGAATCTGGCTCCCCCCCCCGTTTGCTTTGTTTGTTGGAAGCCAGCTGGTAAGGTCACAAATGGTGATCACATGATCCTGGTGTGCTGCAACTGTATAAATACATCAGTGGTGGGATTAATTTTTTTTTACTACCGGGTTCTGTGGACGTGGTTTGGTGGGAGTGGCGTGGCTTAGTGGGCATGGCAG